ACTACATCTCGTATCGATGTTATATTTTTCGAACAAAAGATTTTATAATTTAACACTTTCTTCCCCAAAGTTGCTTCAGAGGAATGACAATTTTAGCCATTTTGTGTAAGGTTAGTAGGAAATCCCGTGAGTTTAGTTTAGGGCGGGCGCAGGTTGTTCCTGCCCGTGTATTGGCAACACTGATTTATCTGGCGCAAGCTAAACTGTCAGGATTTTCCGCTAACCTTTTAACAAAATTGATAAAGTTCGTCTTGCTATAAGACAACATTAGGTCACAAAGGGTTGAAATATAAACAGTTTAACTAAAAACCGATCAAAGGTTGAATAAAAATTGAGGAAAACAGAACACACTTCAAATGTTTTCCAAGGGGTGGCAATGCTTACGATTCACGGAAATTCACCACAACTTGGTTCTTTGTTAGTCAAACATACAAATTCTTACTATATATATTAATTTCTAAAAATACATCACGAAGTAAAATACCCAACCGCGTTTCATCACCTGGACGGCAGGTCAGCCCCTAACACCTATCTACTGATCTATGCCTCAACCTCCCCATTCGGCAATACAACTGGGCAATATCACCTGCAGAGGGTACAAACAAACCAAAACAGAATCTTACGGATAATAACCTGTTTATAAGCAATACAGCACACCATTCGATCCTCAAAATACCTGTTATTACCGTCTTCATCAAGAGGCTCATTTATGAGAAGACAAGCAGCTGCAAATGGACCTCCACTACGCATAATGCTTACATGAAAATAACCACAAGACTCATTGGAGAATTAACGGGAAGAGGACAAATATTAAATTCAGTTGGTAATTGCGTTAGTTTTCAAAATTATCGATCCGTAATAGTATAAATATTTAAAAATTGTCTTTAAAAAAATAGTATTTAAAAAAGCAATCAACTAACGAAAACTTCTAACAATAAAATCATCGATTAAAGAGGCAGTAAATCATTAGAAATAGCACACAAAACATAACCTGAGATGTCCCAAAATCATCAAATCGTAAAAACATAAATCTTTAAAAATTGATTATTAAAAAAATATATATTTAAAAAATTAATCAACTAACAAAACCATCTATCAACAAAATCAATGCTTAACAAAGGAGTGAATTCTCAGAAGATAAAAAAATCAAGCTGGTCTGATATCAACAAACCATCGATTCGTGTAAAAATGTAGTTAACTGAAAAAAGTAAACCTTGAGAAATTTGTTTTAAAAATGATAAATCAAATAGAGCTAAGGTCACGAAGTGCATTGGGCGGAATCACAAAACCATCCATTCGTGTAAAAACGTAGTTAAATTTAAATAACCAAAAACAATACGTAAATCTAAATTATCCACCAACTATGGCTAATATTACAAAATAATTGAATTAAAATATTTTATTTAATTTTTTAAGATTTACTTTTTTTAGTTTACATTTTACGCAAAAAAATCCATTATTTCGTGGCGTTATCCCTATTTGACATATGACAATATGACAGTTTGTGATATTAGACTTAGTACTTCGTGGCCTTTAGCCCTATTTGACATGTTATATTATTTTTTTTAATAAATTTCTAAAGATTTTTACACTTTGACATGTTGATTTTGTTATATTAGCTTTATTTTTTTTTTTAAATTATATAATTTGAAGAATACATAGATATGAGTGTCATGTTAACCAAAGTTGATATATATTTTTGGAAAAAAAATTCGGAATATTCTCATTTTTAAAATTCGATATAATCTAATTTTTGGCTCTAATTTATTTATTTATCTTAAGAAAATATTAGAGATGGTTTTTTTTACAAATTGTGCAAGTTTTACAACTTTAGAGGCACTTTGTGGTAGATATTATATTTCTCAAGATTTACTTTTTTTTGGTTTACATTTTTACACCGTTCGATCAGTTTTTGGAATCAGTTCTAGGTTGTTATATTAGCCCTATTTGACATGTTATATTATTTTTTAAAATAAATTTCTAACGATTGTTATACTTGAAGGCGCAAGGATTTTGTTTTATTAGGGATTGTGTTTTTATTAAAAATTGTATAAATTTTACAACTTTTAGACGCAATGGTTTTGTGATATTAGCCCTAGTTCTGGACTGTTTTTAAAATCAAATTTCTCAAGATTAACTTTTTTTGAGTTTATGTTATTACGCGATCGATGACTTTGTGATATCACCCCTAATATCTCGTGAAGTTAGCCCATGAGCTAAAGGCCACGAAATACTAGGGCTAATATCACAAATTGTCATTATTGTCACCTGTCAAATAGAACTAAGGTCACGAAGTCCCTAAAACTGATAGCAAAAAACTGATCGAACCTTGTAAAAATGTAAACCAAAAAAAAGTAAATCTTGAAAAATATAATATCTATCACAAACTGCCTCCAAAAGTTGTAAAACTTATACAATTTCACAAAAAAATTAAAGCTAATATAACAAAATCATCATGTCTTAAAGTGTAAAAATGTTTAGAAATTTCCTTTAAAAAATAATATAACATGTCAAATAGGGCTAAAGGCCACGAAGTACTAGGGCTAATATCACAAATTGCCATTATTGTCACATATCAAATAGAACTAAGGTCACGAAGTACCTAGAACTGAAACCAAAAAACTGATCGAACCGTGTAAACACGTAAACCAAAAAAAGTAAATCTTTAGAAATATCTATCACAAAGTTCCTCTAAAAGTTGTAAAACTTACAAAATTTATTTTTAAAAAAAATATAATCCCTAATAATCCCTTAAGATAAATAAATAAATTAGAGCTCAAAATTAGATGATAGCGAGTTTTAAAATTGTGAATATTCCGAAAATTTTTGTCAAAAAATATATATCAACTATGGTTAACATGACACTCATATTTATGTATTCTTCGTTATAAATATTTTAAAAATTAACAAAATCAAAATGTCTTAAAGTGTAAAAATCTTCAGAAATTTCTTTAAAAAAATAAACCTTGTCAAATAGGGCTAAAGGCCACAAGTCTGATATCAAAAAACTGATCGAACGGTGTAAAAATGTAAACCAAAAAAAGTAAATCATGAGAAATATAATATCTATCACAAGCTGCCTCTAAAAGTCGTAAAACTTACACAATTTGTATTAACAAAATACCATCCCTAATAATCCCATAAGATACATAAATAAACTAGAACTAAAAATTAGATGATTATCGAATTTTAAAAATATGAATACTCCGAAAAAAAAAATTTTTTCAAAAAATGTTACGTATCAACTATGGTTAACATGACAATCATATTCATGTATTCTACAAGTTATATATATTTCAAAAATTGAAAAAAAATATAACAAAATCATCACATCTTAAAGTGTACAAATCTTTTGAAATTTCTTTTAAAAAATAATATAACATGTCAAATAGGGCTAAAGGCCATGAAGTACTGAGGCTTATATCACAAACTGTCATTATTATCACATGTCAAATAGGGATAAGGGATAAAATAATAGATTTTTTTGCGTAAAATGTAAACTAAAAAAAAGTAAATCTTGAAAAATTAAATAAAATAATCCAACGATGGCTCATAACGCAAAATCGTGTAAATGTTAGAAATTAGTTTTTGAAATAACTAAAATTGTAAATATGAAATTAGTAAAATCTTTACGAAAAACAAATTATAATTGAAGTAACTGCAAACAGTAGAAAAAAATACCTAAACTTTCTTTATTATTTAACCAAGATAGGGACAAAAAATGTTAACTTTTTGGAAAATTTGATTTACAACCAAAAATCGACATTGACTTATTTCTAGAATACAAAGTAAACAAAATTTAAATTACAGCCACACACGCACACACACACACATACACATATTCGATTAAGCTTCTGATTAAATAATTTCCCCATATTAAACACGACATAATTATAATGAAATTAACCTGAAACAGGGTTTTTTATTATTTTGCTAATAATATAAATCAGTTCTAATGCGGAGGTAGGCGAGGGCAAAAAAATAATCATTTATTGTATAAAATAAATTATTGTGAAACTGCAAATCACGTCCAAATTGAACCTAGGTTGGGTTTTACCACAAAATACGACCAAATTTTTACTTTTCTTATGGTTTAAATAGTTTTCTAATTTAAAAAAAATAATCTTGAAATCACAGAGAAATAAGGAGACAACTATACCATAAACCATAAACTGTCACATAAATGACTTAGCTTAGGGTTAATGGAACCGAAAATAAATTTTCCACCTCACAGAGAAATAAGACGTAAAATAAAAAAAAATCTAGGAAACTATTAAAAACACTCAATTTAGGCCTAATATAAAATAAACAAAAATGACTGGATTTTTTCAAAATAAAAAAACAAAACTTGGAAAATAATATTAAAACGAAATTACTCATTTATAAACCTAATTAAACTACTAAATATTGATTAAAAAAATAATATTAAAATAAGATTTTTCAGGGGAACGTGGTGTAGGATCCATCGCACAGAAAATAACCTCAACGAGGTTATAGTATAATGAAAGTGAGAAAACCCAAGAAAAACCTTTTTTTGGTTTTTCATATTTTTCCTTTATAAAGAAAAACCTTTTTTTTATTTTTTATATTTAAAATTTCTGATATAATACAATATTTTGAAAAAAGGATTTGTAATTTAATATGAGAACTTTTTTTTTATAAGGAGTAAGTTTTAACATTTTTTTAAACTATATTTTTATTTTTTTTTAATATTTAATTTGATTATAGTTCCATTTGAATAGGGAAAGTTGTTTTTCAACGCTTTGTTTTGGGAAGGTAATCGAGCAGGTTATGATAAGAGATTTAAAGAGAAATCGGCCGATTTAAATTGAAATAGTCTTGATTTTATTGTCCGATCTTTTAAATTTCTTCTAAATATGTTTAAACAATGTGTTTTTGATGTTTTGTCGAGTTTTAAACGGGTTTTGACTGATTATCGGTCCTGGTCGAACATGTGCTACCTCGTGGTCGGTCTTGGACAATATTCGAACGGCACTCACCTGCATAGAATCCGCGCTTATGACTTCGCCTCGGAACATCCTGGCGATCTCGATGCTCAGTTTTGACTTCCCAGTTCCCGTGGCACCAAGAATCACAACGACGGGCACTTTGCTACACATCGCGACTCGAACACCGGACGGACTTGACTCACCATTTTGAGCAGGATCGAACCTACCCGCGAGGGGCGCAGGCGCAGGCGCATCCTTCGCGCCGCAAATTCGAAAACAAAAAATAAAGATATTTAACCAATTTCCACTAAATCCTCTCATAATTATGAACAAACACCTATCAATAATCATAAAATACGTATAACAAACAAAAACATAAATAATACGAAATTTCGGTCAAAGAACGAATTGAAAATTTTCACATTCACCAAAAAAAAAAAAAAAAAACAATTGATCACATTATTTCACAATTAAAATATCACTAAATCACTAATCAAATCAAAACGCAAAATCTACTCAAAATTAAATTTTACCTTATAAAAACAAATAGTACTTTTAATGGCCGCTGGATTCGAACCCAGGAACCTTACAATAATCAGCGCCGTGTCAGCACCCCAAATAATCATAAAATTCACATTACAATTTCAGAATTTATAATCATGGAGTGAACAAAACAAAAAGTCAGCCAATAAATCGAGTTACTTAATGCTAGAAGAAGGTCACAGTTGTATATGAATACATCAAATTATACTTGTTTGGTTGCTAAGAAAATAACTAATTTCATTAATTTGGTTTGACGAGTTATTTTGACTGAAAAACCTTTTCTGATTCTTTTCTTATCAAACTCTTATCTACTTCAATATATATCTGCTATTTATCTACCTATCTATTTATTTATCTATCTACGTCTAATCCACATCAATATCTATTGTATCTATCTACCTGCCTATCTATCTCTTTAGCTATCAATCTATCTGAATGTACTTCTATATCTATCAGCTACGTATCGATCTCTCCGTCGATCTATCTACTTCAATATCTATCGATTTATCTACCTTAATTTATCTGATTATCTCTAATCTGCTTCTATATCAATCTATATATCTGTCTATCCATATATCGCTGTCCTTCTATAGCTATCTCTATCTACTTCTACATCTATCTATCTCTATATCTGTAATCTACATCTATAGCTATCTTTCTAACTGCCTACCTACTATCTATTTATCTGTTCATCTATCTATCGGTTAATATTTCTATGCTTATCTACATATCCATCAATTTATCCTTTTATCTATATATATTTCTATATCTATCTAGTTATCTATCTATCTATCTTTATCTACTCTTATATCTTTCTCCCTATCTAGCTGTATATCTTTAATCTACTTCTATATCTATCAATCTATCTACCTACCTATTACCTGTTTATCTCTCTATCTATCTATCTATCTATCTATCTTTCTACCTACTACGTATCATGTGTCTAGCTATCTGTCTATCCATGTATCTAGATTTACTTCTATATCTATCTATTTATCTATATATCTATCTTTCTAAGTACCTACCTACTACCTATCAGCCTATCTATCTGTCCATCCATCTATCTCTATGTACTTCTATATCTATCTGTCTAACCATGTATTTAGATCTACTTCAATATCTATCAATTTATCTATATATCTATCTTCCTAACGACCTGCCTACTACCTATCTACCTCTCTATCTGTCCATCCATCTATCTCTATGTACTTATCTATCTATCTGTCTAACGGTGTATCTAGATCAACTTCTATATCTATCTATTTATCTGTCAATCCCTCTATCCATTTCTACATCACTATATCTATCTCTACTTCTATCTATCTATCTCTACTTCCATCTATCTATCTGTCTGTCTGTCTGTCTGTCTGTCTGTCTCTCATCTATCTGTCTGTCTGTCTGTCTGTCTGTCTCTCTCTGTCTCTCTCTCTCTCTGTCTGTCTGTCTCTCTCTCTCTCTCTCTCTCTCTCTCTCTCTCTCTCTCTCTCTCTCTCTCTCTCTCTCTCTCTCTCTCTCTCTCTCTCTCTCTCTCTCTCTCTCTCTCTCTCTCTCTCTCTCTCTCTCTCTCTCTCTCTCTCTCTCTCTCTCTCTCTCTCTCTCTCTCTCTCTCTCTCTCTCTCTCTCTCTCTCTCTCTCTCTCTCTCTCTCTCTCTCTCTCTCTCTCTCTCTCTCTCTCTCTCTCTCTCTCTCTCTCTCTCTCTCTCTCTCTCTCTCTCTCTCTCTCTCTCTCTCTCTCTCTCTCTCTCTCTCTCTCTCTCTCTCTCTCTCTCTCTCTCTCTCTCTCTCTCTCTCTCTCTCTCTCTCTCTCTCTCTCTCTCTCTCTCTCTCTCTCTCTCTCTCTCTCTCTCTCTCTCTCTCTCTCTCTCTCTCTCTCTCTCTCTCTCTCTCTCTCTCTCTCTCTCTCTCTCTCTCTCTCACACTCTCTCTCACTCTCACTCTCACTCTCTCACAATCTCTCTCACTCTCACACTCTCTCACTCTCACATTCTCTCACTCTCAATCTCACTCTCTCTCCCTCTCTCTCTCTCTCTCTCTCTCTCTCTCTCTCTCTCTCTTTCTCTCTCTCTCTTTCTCTCTCTCTCTCTATTTATTTATATATCTCTAACTATGTCTATCCACCTATCTATCTATTTATCTACCTTTTTCGGCAATTCCCTTAATATAGCCCTCTTACTCTCAGTTTGATATTAAAAAATATTTGACCATGTCTTTAACTGGCCTCTTTATATTAAAAATTTACTAAATATTAGAACCATTATTAGCATCGAGAGATATTTCCAACTTTGATAACCGACGATTCATACCGTCGAAATAATACTTCACTTGCATACACATTGTGAACCCATGCTGGCATACAGACCAAATCGCCATCGCGACATTTATCACACTTTTCAAAAACTCATCACTGTATTATTTTTGCCAGGGCGATTCTTCGAGAGAATGCAGACATTCGAGACGACAAATGCAGTCCGTCTGCAAGTCGTTGACTCGTAGCTGAAGTCTGGGAATGTCTTAGGCGTAGGCGTTGAACTGGATTTGTCGCCGCGCTATCGATCTCCCTCGAACGGCTTTATTAAATCCAGCTTTGTTGATTTGGGGAAGTTTCAAACCGTCCACAGATCAATTCGGATTGTAATTATGAGAAGAATCGAAGTAAAATGAAACCTTTACAGATTCAACAGAGGTTCGTAGAGAAATGCACTCAAACATTGTTTCACCGTATCTTCTCAAGCTACCAAATGGAGCTGGAATATAATTTTTTTTCTAAATTCCATCATAGTTCATTTTTACAAATTTTCTTGATACAAAAAATAGAGAGGATGAATGACAAAGAAAAAAGAGGGAAGGAATGAGTGAAAGAGACAGAGTAAGGTGTGAGACTAAAAATAAATTATAGGTACATGATTAGCGGTTTCATACTTCCAGGGTTGTTGGTTGGATGTTTACATGTGGATTGTTACATATTGCTCTGCCATAGCGCAAAATAAATTGTAGGAAGATGGTTAGATATATAAATACATAGTAAAGTAGGTTGGTTGGTTAGTTTGTTGGAAGATTGTTTAGTTTGATGGATGGGGGCTGATGTTAATTATTTAAGATGGTTTATCGGTACAATGGTTGGGCAGTGGGCTGCTTGGTAGATTATATGGATGCTTGGTTGGTTAGATCGATGGGTGGTTGGTTTGTTGGAAGATTGGTCAATTGGATGAGTGGGGATTGATTGGATGGATGTTAGGTATTTAGGTAGGTTTATCTGTACAATGGTTGGGCAGTGGGCTGCTTGGTAGATTATATGGATGCTTGGTTGGTTAGATCGATGGGTGGCTGGTTTGTTGGAAGATTGGTTAGTTGGTTGGATGGTGGTTGATTGGATGGATGTTAGATACAAAAGAAGGTTTATAGGTACATTGGTTGGGTAGTGGGCTGGTTGGTAGTTTGGATGTTTTGTTGGTACACTGGTTGGATTCAAACCCAATCGCATCTAAGAAATGGATTGTTGTATATTGCTTTATGATAGAAAAACTGCCCTTATTTGAGGAATATAAAAGTACAGGTAATATTTCTTTGTATGGTTTTCGTTGGAAAGAAAAGCGAAAGAAAGAAAAAGAGAGAGGGAAGAACAGAATGGGAGAGTGGTCGAATTTGAGAAAGATGGTGTGAGAGAAGTATTGATAGATAAAATATTTAAATAGAGATACGAAAAGGGAAGGAAAACTAGTGCAAGTGAGACAATTTCACATACCTAGAGCGGGCGTGCTGCGTTTCAGAAGATTAAACAATGACAAACTGTCATTTAGTTTATAATCATTGAATTAACATAATAGAGTAATTATATATCGGCGAGAGTGAAAACAATCTGAAACATTTCCGCAATAAATATTTATGAATTATTGTTTAATGTCTTGCGATGGAATTAATACGGCGGAGACGTGGGGTACAATCGGCCAAAGAGAAAATATTCAATTTTGTATACACTTCTATTACAATTTATAAATTATAAATGTTTTTTATTATTAAACGGAGTATAGCTGTCTAATTATAAAATATATGGAAAGTCTATGAACAAACCCTAAATGCTCTTTGTTAATAATATACTTCATGTTCTTTGATTTGCACTAAGTTTTGAAAGCTCTGGCTCTGAAACTAAGCGTATCGGAACTTACACAATCTGTTGAAATTTCATCTAAATATGAACGAAATTAACTTCAAACACCAAGAAGATATTTTTTTTTATATAAAATTAAACTTTTTTTTTTAATTTAACTGTAGTGAGTTTCCCACAATCATCAAATATAACTGCAATGCGGTATTTATTTTGTGAGAGACGTTCTAACTTTTGAGCTGGACCCCCTACGTAAAACGACCCAGAAATGCGGTCTCTTAAATTTCTTCTGTTTAATGAGTTTCTTTAACGAAAAATTAAACATCCCTGTGTTAAAACGACCTTTTTTTAAATCTATTATTACTATTTTCTTTTTTCATTAATGGGTTAATTTTCGCCCAGTCTAGGAAAAACCTACGTTAATAGTCGCATACAGCATATCAGCATTCTAACCTTTTTTTTACGTACCTTTATGTCGGATGTATAAAAAAAATTGAGAGAGGTAAAAAAAGTTTCTTTCAGTTGGTATCTTTCTTCTTCCTTTCTCACTCTGTTTACTCTCACTTTTACAGGCTTTCGCAGTCCTCCCTC